CCGCGCGTCTCGGCCTCCTGGGCAATACCCCCCTGCCCCTGCCCCCTCCCCGGCAACCTGTCTCTGCCCCGCGGACCCCGCGGACCCCCGCGTGCCGGCTGGAAGCATGCTGGAAGTGGGGCGGAACCAGGAGGCATGCGCGGCGCGGCGCGGCACGGCCAGGCGGCTACGGCGCCCGGCCCGGTCCAGCCTGCCTTCCAGCCTTCCAGCCCTCCTTCCTTCCAGCCGCGCCGCCGCTCCGCCGCCGCGCCCACCTCACGTGGAGATGGCCGTGGCCGTGACGAAGCCGGAGGACGGCCGGCGGTGTTGCCGGTGCCCCGCGAGGACCGCGACGACCGCGAGGACGCGCCCGAATTTGAAGGCGGCGCGCCAAGGGTTGCGACGCCGGCTTCTGGTGGAACGAGCCTGTCAAAATCAAGTGTACGTCACAACGAAGTGGGTTCTCTCATACAGGCCCGTCTCTTTCGACGCGATTAGCTTTAACCGTGATTCGGGGTGATTATTAAAATTCTTCACAAAGCGGCATTAAAACCACGTTGCAAAAATTTCAAAAACACGCGTTTTTGTGAGAATTTTAGCGAAAAGCAGCCTGTTTGTGGACAGTTTTTCCAGCGGAACGGCGAGGCTCCATTAACGTATTCCTCGCCGCTGTCGGCCGTGCCGGGCCGTGCCGGACTCTGCAGGCTGTGCGCTCGATAATCAATGCGTGTGTGCGGTGTCTGCTGTGCGGTCCCGTTGTGTACACACCGGCGTCACACACGCCTGCCTGCCTTGCTGCCTCGCCCCGCCTGCATTCTTACTCCACGTCAAAATTCAAAGCGACAGCAGGCGCGCAGCTTTCCCGAGACCCCGAGCGCCGACCAGTCTGGTCTGACCACACGCAGAAACAAAACTCGAGGCTGCACCTCATTTTAACTTTTATCTGATGTGGTGCCAGGGACCCTCTGTGTGTTCGTTTCTTTCCAGTGCGAAGTGCAGGCGCACAGGTCTCCCTTATCTCGTACCCGGTAAAAACTTTGTCCGGGTTTAAAGGACCAGTCAGGCAAACAAGATCAAAAACCCGAAACAACGCCAACCTGACTTTTCAGGCATTACTTCGCGAAATGGACAGACAGCGGTCACCAAAGATCCTGAAGGTTAGCAGCACAACATTAGCATAATCTGCTAAGCTTTCCGAGTCTAGCATTTTGGGAGTGTTCTGCTGCTGGGTTGTTTCGGGCTGTCCTGCGAGGCACTCCATGGAGTGCCCTGTATGTATTGTGAAAATTCCTGCCGGGACGCATACATAATTTTCTTTTTCGCTATCGTTTGGAGTGCCCCGATGACACCAATGAGGACCAGGGACTCAGTGAACGGATGAACCTTGTTAGAAACCTTGTCCGCTCGAGAGACACCATCAATCTGAGTGTGGATTGTGGAGCTGAGCTGCCGGGCCACGCGGCAGGCCTGCAGACGACACAAACCGTCGACTAATTGGTCTCCAGCAGGGAGCAGCAAATGCTATGGTTTTTCTCTTTCGGGCCCGATGCGCTTGAGTAGTGCCCGTGTCACGCCTGTGTCACGCCTGTGTCACGCCTGTGTCGCGCCAATGTCACGCCTTGTCACGGTTGCGTCACGCTGACGCCCAGACCAACGAGGCGAAAACGCGGCCAAAAAAAATTAAGGAAGCGCGCGCGCTCCGCGGCCCCTTCAAGGAGCTACTAGTACTGAGTCCAAACAGCAGGTCTCTCCCTCTCTCTCTCTCTCTCTCTCTCTCCTCTCTCTCTCTCTCTCTCTCTCTCTCTCTCCCTCAGAGGGCGTCCAGTTTGGGCACGTTTGGGTGTGCGAGCGAGACAAGCTGCTCCGGAATCAGACTTGCTGAACAGGAGGAAGATCTGCGAACGCCGACCGGCAGACGATCAATTGTGGTCCAGCCTCTCAAAGTTTAAGTTCGGACTCCACGATTGCCTACTTTCAAGTGCACAGTCCGACTTTTTGCCTACCTTCCGGGTGGCTTCGCCGACTCCACGGAAAAGGGGAGGGGTGGGGGGACTTCCTCCTCCCCTCCCTGGATCCGCACCTGAATGCCGCTCGATAGCTCGATAGCTCGCTCGATAGCGGTGGCGCGCCGCGGCGGCGGTAATGCTGTGAGAACGGCCGGAACAGAACAGTGCCGCAGCAAGCATGGCGAAGCGGGGCGCCTTCCCTTTCTTTTGTTTGATTGTTGCCAGTGTTCTCAGGCTATTTACATTCCTCCAGACTGTGCCGCCCCCTCCCTCCCCCTCATCGCGGGATGAAGTGCAAACTGAGTATTACTCACCCGGTTACGTACCGTGGGTATATGCTCCGCTAGACAATCAGGCGTTTAGCGGTGAATTGAAATTGTGTGTGTGTGTGTGTTTGTATGTGAGTGTGTGAGAGTCGAAGCGCGCGCACTGTGCAGTGCTTTGCAGTGTTGTGCATGTGTGTGTGTGTGTGTGTCTTGATGTACATAAATCACGTAGCATTGTTGGGCCGTCGCGGCTCGTTTTCCCTGATGAGGCCGCGAATGGAAATGAGCACGCGACCCACTGGTGTGAATGTTATTAGGAATATGCTCGTAAATTCTCTGTTGATCGCAAAATTTCTGAATTTTTATTGTTTTGGTTCAGTTATTTTTTAAAAAATGTTTTCCTTGTTTCCATGATGTGGGCCTTCTAAAATGTCTAAAGAAGCTGGCGAGCAACAAAATTTGAGTAGACTTAAATCCGTGGGAACAACTAGTTGTGCCTCCTCAGCCTTTGCAGTTTACTATTAGAATAGGTTGAACGGTGGAGGCTTTGAAACAAAATCCGACTGGCAGATACGTGCAGGAGTTCGAAGTCCTAAATTAGGATAGTGGCCTGTGCCGCCTTTGTACTGCGTAGTAGTACTAGTGTCTGTCTGCGAGTTAGGTCTTCCAGCTTTGTGATTGCTGGACAACGCTCGCGCCAACGCTGCCGCCCTGCCGTCCCGTTAACTCACAGTGCTCTGCTCGGCGTGTTGCAGGTCCGCGCTGTCGGCGCCATCCGCGCCGTCCGCGCCGTCCGCGCCATGGGGTGCTGAGGCTGAGGCCAGCCCCGCCACGGCCAGCCCGCGGCCACCCAGCCATCCTCGTCCGTGAGGCCGTGAGTAGCGACATCTCTCTCTCTCTCTCTCCGGCCTGGCCGGGTCTTCATGAGCCTGGCCTTCATGGGCCGGGCCGGGCACGCGGCTTGGCCGTGACCGTGCACTGCAGCGGCTCGCCCAAGCTCGCCCAGGCTCGGCACTCTCACCGCGTCGCGCGGCCGCCGAGGACGCCGCCCTGTCCGGGACCTACCCGCCCTGCCCTGCCCGGCCTGCCCCACTGGGCACGGTTCTGCATACCAGCCGCCAGCAGCCGGCGGGCCCCGCCAGCCCCGGCAGCCAGCCGCGCCCCGGCCGGAGAGCGCGTCCTCCTGGCCGGCTGCCGTAACACTGTTTATACAAGACGTGTGACGGGGCCGCACGCCACGCGGCACCGCCAGGCCGGCAGCCAGGCCGGCAGCCAGGCCGGCAGGGTCTATAATTTGACCCGTTTATGTCGAAACCAAACCGCCCGGGCGGCAGGGCCTTTGGCAGTGCCTTGGCAGGGCCGGCAGCGTGCCCGTGTCGTCCTGCCCCGCGTCTCGCCCCAGCCCCATCGCCCCATCGCCCCATCGCATCGCGGATGGCAGCGGCAGGTCCTCCGCGATATGAGCGGCCCAACGTGGCAACGTGAAACGGAACCCTCCACTCGACCGGCCGGCGCTCCGGTCGACTGGTTCTGCACGCTGATCCCGAACATTCGCTCTGTCTCCCTCGCACTCATGAGGCATCCCGCGAGGCCGGAGACAATAATTAAGAAAACACGAAACCGAACGTGTTGATTTGGGTTTCACATCATAGTTTTAAGTTCGAGACGGTTAAAAACAATCTCGTGCAGACTTGTGCAGGCGCGTCCCTGAATGTAGGCAGTTCTCCGACCGCCGCGCCACCGCGCCGCGCCCCGCGAGTGCGAGGCCGTTGTTTATGCGGGAGGCGAACGCGCGGCCGAAAAGCGTCCGAACATCGCGCGGGAATAATGAGCTCTCATGGACTGCAGGCGACGTCTTGTCTCTCTCGCGCTCTGGGGCGTCGCGCAGGGGTGCGAGAGAACGGAGCCACTGTTCGGAATCAGCCCGCTGGGATGCGGCCGTAAAAAATGATGGCGGCGAATAAAATAGGCCGCGCTAGACTTTCTGGCCGCGGTGCCTCGCCGCGGTGCTCCTTGGCGGCGCCCCTACACTACACTTTATTAGCGGGCCGGGCCGCCTCGGAATCCTCAGAATGGAACCGATCGGCCCAATCAAACCCACGCGCCACCGGAAGGCCGCATTAGTTCAGCCAAATTTCTTCCGAAAGAATTTACAACTTTCTTTTTGAAATCAAGAGAATTGATTTTCCATTGCGTTTTACAGTAATTTTGTTGCATCAATGAAACTTTATTTTGGGAGTGGCTGACTAGTGCAGTTTGATTCCTACTAGTAGCGCTGCTGTCGCTCTGTCTCTCTCGCACTCCTACGAGGCGCCCGGTGAGCGAGCGACGAAGCACGACTGTTCGGAGTCAGCTTACGGCCACCCCGTCAACAAGTACCACTGTCCCTGTCTCTCTTGCGACTGCGGAGCGAGTTCCCCGCCACTCTGTCCCTGTCGCACGCTGCGGCGCGCTGCGGCGTCCCGGAGGGCTGCGAGGGAGGCAGAGCGCGCCGAAGCACTGTGCCGCTGTGCAGGATTGTCAGCTAATGTACCTTCCTCCGCTTGCAGGTTCTCCGAGATGGGTCCGGAGCGGCCCTTGCTGGCGCCACCGCCCCCGCGCGTCCCGAGAGCCATGGACTCCGCCATGGACCCCGCCGTGGACCCCGACGTGGACCCCGCCGTGGACTCCGACTGCCGGCCCTGCGCGCCCTGCGTGCCCTGCGTGAGGCGGCGGCCGGCCCGGGCCTGGGCGCTGCCGTGGGGTCTGCTCGCCCTGCTCGTCCTCCTCGTCGCCCTGGTGAGTGTGTTTTTCGCAGTGCACGCGCGGCACCCGGGGAATGTCGGCCCGGTGGCGGCCGGTGGCGTCGCGCGCCCGCCTGCCCTGCCCGGCTTGGCTCCCTGCTCCTCCCAATAGTCCCGCAAAGACTTGGACGCCGCGACCCGGCGCCGAGTGTCGATGCGGAGAGATGATTCGGGCTTTAGCCTGGCGTGGCCTGGCTTTGGCCTCGGCGACAGTGGCTGCGAGCAGAGCCAGCGGGCAGCGCGGCCAGCGGCGGCCAGCGGCGGCCAGGAGAAAGCTGCTGTATCAGCATCTCGGGGACAAGGATGCTCCCCCCCCCCTCCCGCAGCCCCGCAGCCCGGATCAGCTGGGACTTCCCCCTCCCTCGCTCCGCCGCGCTCGGCGGCCCCAACGGCACTTGAGCTGCGTATACGTGTGCTAATGTTGGCCCCGGCTAGGTTCGGCCGTTCGGTCTCGCGGGCTGTGCCTTCCCTGCTGCCGGCCAGGTCGTGGACTCCATGACCAATCAACTGCAAAAAAACTGACGCCCCGAAAAGCGTCTCCCTTCGCTGGCGCCGGCGTGCCGCTGCGACGTGCAATGCATAGCGCCTCTAACTTAGCAGCGTGCTTCCGACACGCTGTCTCTCTCGCACTCACAGGGCGTCCCGGAGGACTCTCACGAAGCAGGACATTGCCTCGGACATGCCGCTGGCAAATCGCGCCTTTTTGGGGGCGTTAACTAGGGGTACGCGCCGTTTTGTGTGGGCGCGTAGTGTGGCTGAGCGATGCGAATTTGTGCACTTCGGACTGCAGCTTGTGGGCTCATGTTGAGTGAAATGTAGGTCTGGGGTATAAATGGGAGTGATTTTTGTTATCAGCACACAAAAAACTGTTGGGATCAACGTCAAACTCGATTCCAAAATTTTGGTCCAAAATTGGTCAAAATTCGGTAATGCGTGAGTCTGAGAAAAATTTGGAAGTCATTTTTGAGCTCAGCGCATCAAAAACTGCAGGAAACAATAAAAAAACTTGATTTGAAAATTTTGGTCCAAAATGACCTAATTTGGGATAAAAATATAAGTCTGGAGTCGAAATGGAGGAGATTTTCGTCATCAGCACACAAAAAACTGTTGGGATCAACATCAAACTCAATTCAAAAATTTTGGTCCAAATTTGGTCAAAATTGGGTAAGGCGTGAGTCTGGGAAAAATTTGGAAGTTATTTTTGAGTTCAGCTCATCAAACACTGCAGGAAACAATATAAAACTCGACCTGAAAATTTTGGTCCCAAATGACCTAATTTGAGATGAAAATATAAGTCTGGAGTAGAGATGGAAGTGGTTTTCATAATCAGCACTCCCAAAACTCCAAGAATCAATATGAGATTCGATTGAAAAATATTGATATCAAATTGATCAGTAATGGGTAAAGAATGGGTCTGGGTTGGTCTTCATGGATCACCCTTTGTCGTCACCAATACTCAAATGCCACACCAATGCGATTCCTTCAGTCGAGTAACATTCCATTGCCAGCATTGAATCGCTTAATTAGCTACTCGTCTGCTTGACTCACTATTCGATACATCTTTTTCTTCAAACTAATGAATTCACAAATTTATTAGTTATATTTGAGAAGCCTTTTGTCATTCTTTCATTTAAAACCAGTGAATTAAACAATATAGACTGGAATATGTAATCATAGTTTTTATTAAGTGACTCAGTTTAGGGCAGGCTGATCTGAAGCATTCGACGGAGAACAAGTTTTGTCAAATTCAGTGAATCGTCTCATGAAGTCAAATGCAGAGGCCACTTGTTGCTAATACGCCAACTTAATTTACCTTATTCATGCCTCGTGATATTTTATCTTTAGAGTAAAAGAATACAGTATAGTCTTAACATTGGGCTTACATTCAGAAAGCCAGCTTTTAAATCATTATCAATACTTGGTTCCAGTTGTCGGACACAAGCTTTGGTGAAGTGAAAGGAATCGTCCCATTAAAAGCAATTACCAAGTCACCCACCGCTCAAAACCTGAATCGTCTGATTGAACCCAATATCAGTTCAAAATCTGTTAGCACTAAATATATGGATTATTTATTGCACAAAATACATCTATTTATGGATTCTTTTAATCAATAGATGTAAGTACTAGAATATTGATGTTAGCTTGCAGCATTGCAATAGAGTGTCATTTCCCCGAGACAAACCAAGACAATTAACATGTCTTCTAATTTCAACAGAAGTTATTCATGCATTTACCTGATTTGATTTACTATGAAATTTAAAAATTAGGATAGTATCAGAGAGAATAAAATCAGTAGATGCACACAAAGGCAAAGAAAACATTGTATTTACAATCCACAACTACACTCAATGCACTGACCTGTTCCCCTGTGACGGGGGAAGAGGGGAACGAAACACGTAAACCATTCTCACATTTAGTTTCCGTATTTTCCTCTGTTGACACCCCGGAAGGGTTTCAATCATTCTAGAATGTTAAAAAACTATCTCAGTACCTATTTGAGAACCCCTTTGCTCTTTAGTTTGTTTATTTGCATAAGTGCCGTCCCGTCTTGCAGACGGCTTGCAAGCGCGGCAGCCGGTATGAGAAATTGGTAAGCGACACGCTGCTACCAACCTAAACACGCTAATTACCTACTTCAAAATGATGTTTTGAATATTTCAAACGATGATAATTGTTAATCTGAGATAAACTCCCCCTGTAGGATGTTTAGGTGACATCAGGTGTGAAATTTGGATACTATTCGTTCAGTAGTTGCTGAGAAACGTGAGTGATTACATACAGAGAGACAGACAGACAGACAGACGCACGACCAGTCACTTTTCGGAGCGCCCAAACACGGCAAGGGCTTCGCTATCGCTCAGCCAATGACTTTCCGTGCCTGAAACCTAACCTCGCTGCTGCTGCGCGCGGCCACCGCCAGCCAATCTAATGAGGCGGACTCATTTCCCAAATCGTGTCAGCGGCCTGCCGGCGTGGCGCGTCGTGGCGTGGAGTGGTCTGCGTGAGGTACGGCGGCGCGGCGCCGTGTCGTAGAGTCGGCGCAGGTCCCGCAGTGCAGGCCCCGCAGTGCAGGCTTGCAGACTACTCGGAGCCAGAGCCGCGACGTGACACCTCGGTAATTGGGTCGCGGAGTCGCGGCAGCGACAGCGAACTGGTCGGCGGTTCCGGCGTGTTCCGGCCGCGGCACTGCCAGTGCACTGCCAGTGCCAGGCCAGGCGCTGCACAGCATGCGCGTCCCGAAAGCACGTCACGGACCTGCCGCCGGGATTCCGAAGAGTCGTTTTTGTCGCGCCGTCTCTTTCGCACTCATAGGGCGTCCCGTGTAGGTGCGAGAGAGACAGAGCGACGAAAACGACTCCCGGAGTTATCGGTGGCGTCTGAGAGAGCGGCTCGGTGCCTGATGGTCTGATGGATGCGCCCCAAGCCCCCAAGTCCGGGCCCGGGCCAGCCCCGCCAGCCCGGAATCGCACGAAAGGCCAACGAAAGTTGTCGCGCCGTGGTTCTCCATATAGAAGTATCCCGCTCGGGACGCCTTTCATCTAGAAGGTCGCCGCGTGTGTGTGTGACCCTGTGTGTGTGTGAGTGAGTCAGTCATGTCACAATAGAAGGCGTGGTGGGGCCTTGGAACGCAAACCACTTTCTTTCATCGCGCTATATCCCTGGAGCCAGCCGCGCGACCTCCAGCGTCCGTCGTGGCCGTGGCCATGTCCGTGGCCCTGACCGTGGCCCTGGCCTTGTGGACAGGGCGTGTCCGCCCCGCCCCGCCTCGTAATGCTCCACTTGAGCGTGGCGCGATGGTGGCGTGCAGGGCGAGCAGGTAGCGGCCAACGGGGACCCTCGTGCGCACTGGCGGGCTGCGGGCGGGCTGCCTGGCCGAAGGGTTTCGCCGGTTCGCTCTTTATTCCCTTCCCCCTAATGATCGTGTTCGGCCCGAGGTTCGGCCTACTTCCCGGACGTGACGTCTAGACGTCTGCCGCGGCTTGCACGCCGCGTTCCGCGCCCGGCGCCCTTTTTTGCTGCGGGGCCGCCGCGCTTTGCGGCGTTTCGGCGCGAAAAATCAAGATTTGGACCGGCGGCGCGGCGCCAGGTTTCGGCGCGAAAGCGTCACGCTGGTCGCGGTCACGACACTGTCCTGGAGGCGAGGAGAAAATTTACGATTCGCCGGTCTTTGCGACCATTTTGGTCCATTTCGAGAGCTAACGCTGTTTTTACAGCAGTCTTTGGTGGCTCTTACCGCCGCTGTGCGTTTTCTAGTGCCGTTTCCACGGTCCCCAGTCGATTGTTGTCACCGAAAGCACGCGAAGCTGGCCTCGCTCGAGGTGGTCAGCAAAACAGCACGACATTTTACCGAATAAACTCAAATCAAACCGCAGAGAAGAACTGAAAAAAAAACAACATAGAATTGTTGTGTGAGTTAAATTATTGCAAAATTATTGATTAAATCGAACTTCTTTGTGCGCGTTAAATTTCCACATCGATCCCAAAAGAATTTTCATCGACACTAGGATTTTCTTTCAGTAAAATATTGCGTGTGTGACTGAAAGCCATCAACCGCAGCACATAGTTTCGGTCGTCTCGATTCGTTTCTCTTTTTGCTCCGTGCGAAAACCGCTTCGCCCAAGCCGAGAGGCCGAAGGCGGGAAGGTGGGCGACGACCCCCCGTCGGCGCGCTCGTCACCTGCACTGTCTGGCCGTGGGACTGACGCGGACGTGACGTGTCGGCGACGTGTCGGACACGTGTCGGACACGTGCACGGTGTGACTCATCCGGGATAATGAAGCACGAGGCCCCCCTCCTTTTCGGCCCGCTGGAGTGATGTTCTCAGGCCGCGTTCCGGCGGCCAGGCCAGGCCAGGCCACGCCAGGCCGGCGCCCTCTTGCCTGCCCCGTCGGCACCGAGCCGCTCCCACTGTCTTTGGGCATTTCAATGCAACGCCTTGCGCAACTCTATGCGGAGTGGCCTCTAGATGAAGCGACATCGGGCGAGCAGGGCGGC